GGGGGGGGAAATGGGGTGAGACCCCCCCATTTCCAAACTGTTCACGGGGGACGGTCGGGGAAAAGTGAAAACACCCGAATAACCGGGGGGAAAAGCGGGGATTTTAACACTCGGGCCCAAATCCTGGGTGTGGGGGGCGACGGGGGGGGGAGGTTGGGGGTTGAGCATCACCTCCTCCTCCCGCTTCCCTTCCGCTTCCTTCTTGGCCAAAGGGGGGGCGATGGCGACGTTCCCCGAAGCTTTTTTTTCCATTTCTTTTTGTTTTTGCTCGGCCAAAAACCGTTCCTCGGCGTCCAGGAGGTACCTCTGGATCATCTCCTCCTGGTACTGGTGCCTCGTACTGGTTTTGAGGTGGCCAGCGAAGATGAACTTCCGCTCTCCTTGCATGGCCGCCCGTAGGATGTTCAAACTCAACCGGACGTCGTTGCCGTATTTCCAAGAATCTGAGCTTTTTTCCATCGTTTTCCCCCCGGAGCTTTTTTCCACAACCCCCACATCACCGGGAGATGTTTCCTCTTTGCTGCTTTTCCTCGATTTCAACGAACTTTTCTTCTTCTTCTCCAAGGTGTCCCCTTGCCCGTTGGTCACCCCACCTTTGCCCCCTTTGCCGTGCATCAACCCCCCCATGTTCTTCTTGAGTTTGCTCCCCAAGGTCTTGCCGAAGCTGCCAAGTTTGTTGGCCACCGAATCCGCTCGTTTTTTCTCTTTTTCTTTCTCTTTCTCCCGGTCTTTTTTGGGTTTTTCTCGCTCTTTGCAGGTCCTGCTCCCCCCGTTGCTGGTCGAGCTGCTGCAGACTGATTCCTTGTCCGATTCGCCCGATTCCGCCGCCGAACGAGCGTCGTCGCCGGCGGAAGCTGTGGGAGATTCTGGTTGGGCCAAAGGCGCCTGGAAAGAGGGGGAAAAAATAAAATAAAATAAAAAAAATAATTAAAAAATCCATATCAAAGTTCTCTGAGCTCCTGGGAGAAGAATTTTCAAGCTGAGGGTGAAGCAAAGCAAGAAGAAGGGAGGGGACAACCCTCAAACGCACTTGGTGGCACGTCCTACGGGTCCAAAAATGTCTTAACTCCTTGGAGTCTCAAGGGAAAAGGTGAAGAAGATAAAAAAAGGGCAATACATTCCCATAAATTGCCATAAATTGCCATAAATTCCCCAAAATTGCTCCTCTGGTCACCACCCAGGTGAAGGTGGAGATGGTGACACTGGAGGTGGCCCCATGAGGAGGTGACAACCAGAAGGTCACCGCCGGGGCTTTGCGGTGAAGGTGGCACCTCCAGAGGTTTCAGACAGAGCAGAACAGCTCATCCTTTCAATTTGGGGAGTTTTCCCCAAAAAGGGAAGGCGGGGAGAAAAAAAACAACCAACCAACCAACCCCTCTTTCTGCTGTCGAGGAGGGAATTTGGGACACGGAGGGGAGTTTTCCACCAAGGAAAGGTCCCTGGAAAAGTGGAAAGTCCCAAAAAGTGGCTGAAAACCAAGAGTTTGTGTTTGTCTTGGAGCAACCGGTGTCATTTTTTCCCCTTCCAGCGCCCCCCCCACCCCCACGTGGGGTTTGAGGGGCAAAAAGAGGCAGGAAAAACTCCAGAAAAATAAAATAAACACAAAAAAAATGTAATTTCTCTGCTCGGAGCAGGATTAGTGGTAATTTTGGGGGTGGGAAGGGCAAGAGGACCCCCAGGTGAAGGAGAGATGGTGGCGTCTCATGGAAAGGGGGGGTTTGAATAATTCATGAGAGGAAAATAAACCCTCCCCGAGGTGTCTCTTACCTGCGTGTCGCAAGGCAAGGTGATCCACTTGACATTCATGTAGCTGTGCAGCAGGTGCAGCTTGGCCTCCAGCGACAACGTCACGCTGCCGTTTCAAACAAAGGGTTAAAAAACCCCCCTCCAAAAAAAAATTAAAACACCCCCAAAAAACCCCAAAGAGTCCAGTTTACCACCCGGAACCCAGGTTCTCCCCTCATCGATTCTCCCCCCTCTTTCCTCCATCAATCGCTCCAAGATTTCTCCAAAAACGGCTCCAAAATTTCCACTTGGCAAACAAAATATTAAAAAAATTCATTCTTTCCAGTTAAAAAAAATGAAAGGGACGGAGTTTTGTTTTTTACTGGCTCCAAACTCCTCAAATTGGGATAGGGCATCAGTAAAACCTCTGCTGAATTTAAATCCTTGGATTTGGGAGGTTTCCCGGCTCCGTTGCCACCAAAGGGTGATGGAGGAGCTCGGAGACCCCGGTAGTTTTGAGCAGGGAGAGGAGAATGCAAAAAAATACACTTTTTTTGGGTGTGAAAATGACAGTTTGTCCTCTTTTTGCTTCTCGTTTCTGAGCCACACCCAGTCTGAAGCTCTGGGATTTGGAGGTATCATCTCTTCACCTTCTGGGAATGACGCCCATGAGGTGTCACCACCCAAAGCCAAAAAAAAGGACCACAATCGGGGCATTAAAGATAAAATAAGAGGAAAAAGCTCTTCCATCCCCATCAAAAAGGTCCCCACCCCCAGCCCAGTTTTCACCTGGACACGAGGAAGCCCTGGCTGGGGACAGGGTGAGGAACCCCCCAAGTTGTGACCGACCTGGCCAACTTGACGTTGTCATTGTCATCCTTGCCCCACTGCCACTCCTTCCCGGGGTCCACGGCGAAGTGCACGGGGAGCAGCTTGTGCTCCGAGTCCGTCAGGGGGATCACAGCTGCAGGAGGGAGAAGAAAATACACTTTTAGTGCCCCAAAAGGACCCAAAATCTTACACGGTGGCAGCCAAGTCCCGAGGGCCCACCAAGAACATCAGCTCTGGTGGCAACTGGTGCCACACCGAGTGTCACGGCGTGACAGTTGGTCCTCTTTTTGCTTCTCGTTTCCGAGCCACACCCAGTCTGAAGCTCTGGGATTTGGAGGTATCATCTCTTCACCTTCTGGGAATGACGCCCATGAGGTGTCACCACCCAAAGCCAAAAAAAGTAGCAGAATCAGGGCATTAAAGGAGATAAAATAAGAGGAAAAAGCTCTTCCATCCCCATCAAAAAGGTCCCCACCCCCAGCCCAGTTTTCACCAGGACACGAGGAAGCCCTGGCTGGGGACAGAGGGAGGAACCCCCCAAGTTGTGACCGACCTGGCCAACTTGACGTTGTCATTGTCATCCTTGCCCCACTGCCACTCCTTCCCGGGGTCCACGGCGAAGTGCACGGGGAGCAGCTTGTGCTCCGAGTCCGTCAGGGGGATCACAGCTGCAGGAGGGAGAAGAAAATACACTTTTAGTGCCCCAAAAGGACCCAAAATCTTACACGGTGGCAGCCAAGTCCCGAGGGCCCACCAAGAACATCAGCTCTGGTGGCAACTGGTGCCACACCGAGTGTCACGGCGATGCTTGGGATCAAGGGATCTTCATGGAATGGTTTGGGTGGGAGGGCACCTTGAAGACCATCCAATTCCACCCCCCCTGCCCCGGGCAGGGCCACCTCCCACCAGCCCAGGTTGCTCCAAGCCCCCTCCAACTTGACCTTGAACCCCTCCAGGGATGGGGCAGCCACAGCTTCTCTGGGCAACCTGGGCCAGGCTCTCACCACCCTCAAAATGAAGAAGTTCTTCCCAATATTTCACCTCAATCTCCCATTTTTCAGCTCAAAACCCTTCCCCCTGGTCCCATCACTCCCCTTCCTCATCAAGAGTCCCCCCCAGCTTTCCTGGAGCCCCCACCTTGAGGGACTGGAAGGGGCTCCAAGGTCTCCCCGGAGCCTTCTCTTCTCCAGGCTGAACCCCCCCAACTCTCTCAGCCCCCCCTCCCAGCAGAGGGGCTCCAGCCCTCCCAGCATCTCGGGGGCCTCCTCTGGTCCCATCCAACATCTCCATGTCCTTCTGCTGGTGGTGGCCCCAGAGCTGGAGGCACCACTGGGTGGTGGTGGGGTCTCCCCAGAGGGGCAGAATCCCCCCCCATTGCCCTACTGGGGGGTGAGGGGCTTGCTGGGCAGCCATGGTGTCACCCCATGGGAGGCTTTCCATGCCCCCCAACACCCCCAAAACCCTCCTCAATGGGTCTGCTCTTGAAATCATATAGATTTAGATCTTTTTTATCACCCACCTTGATCTTTTGTGGGTTCCTTCTGCTCCATGGATACCAGGGCAGAAAAATGGGCTTGATCATAAGCCAGAACCAAGGGAGAGCGATGGCACTTGTTGGCTGGGACCTCCAGGGGAAGATAAATCCCTCCAAAGGGAATGGGGGCAAAGGCTGGAAAGGAAAAAGGGGGAGGGTGGTTAATTTTCAATTTTTTTGAATTCAATTTTGCGCTGAAACCGCCCCAAAACGCGCCGTTTGCTCGGGTCAAAGTTTTGACCTGCAATTTTCTACCAGCTCGAGGGACGCTAAAAGAAAACCACAACCCCAAAATAGAACCTCTTTTTTCACACCAGGAGGAGCAGTGTCGTGGAACAAACCTGTCTTTTCTATAATAATAAAAATAAAAAACCAAAACAAAACCCAAAAAAAACCCCATCCTTTTTTTTACTCCTCCGCAAAGGAGGGTGGTAATTGCTGAATCTGGCAGGAAATTAGGGCTGTGAGTGGAAAATACGACCCACAGGGAAGGGAATTTCCCAGCGTCACACACACGTGGGGGGGCAAAAAGGGGTAGAAAAAAAACCCAAAACAACCCCAAATTTCACAGTGATGCTCTTCAAACCAGCTAAAATCCACAGAGCTGTGTGTCTCACACCTTTCCAGGAGTTCTGTGCAGCCCAAACTCTGCTCTCAGATTCAAGATCTGGCTTCTTTGAGCAAAATTACCCCTTGAAAATGTGTGGTGAAGAGGAAATTTGCAGCCTGAGCTGGTGTAAATTCGTGAAAAGTTGGAAAAGAGGGGGGTGATCCCCACCTTCTCCCCCCGAGTCCCTCAGCATCGTGTCGGCCACCACCACGATGGGTCTCTTCAAGACGTGGGCGAGGACGAAGACGTGGAATTCCTCCAGGCTCTCGTACACCGGCTCCTCCGAGCTCTCCACCCTGGGGGGGGGGGGGGGGGAGGAAGAAAAAGGAATTAATTTTTCACCTTTTCAATATTTAATCCTCGTTTTTAAAATCCTGGGAGAGCCCTTTGTGGGCACTCAAATCGAGGAGGATCGTTATGAACGGCATCGAGGGTGATTTCAGCTCTAATTTGAGATTTTAGATGTGGATTCCTTCCCCCCCCCTCCCAAAAAATGTCATATTTTAAGTGAAGGGTTGTCCCTGGAAAATAACCCCGTCACTGCCTGGCCCTTGGGGGAGTCTTTTATCTAAAAGTGGTGGATAAAGTGATAAAAGGCCCTCGAAAGGCACGGGGAGCGCCGCCGAAATCCTCAGCTATGGCTGATGACTCTCATTTTATAGCAAAGACCCAGGAGAAAAAATTAATTTGCTCTTCAAGGCGTCTCACCCCCCCAAAAAAAGGGGGTGGGGTGGAATTTAAACACTGCTCCACCTTTAAATTCTTCCCTTCTTCCTCCCGGTTCTCCATCCTCCCCCTCAACCCACCTCCCCGTCCCCCAGCCTCATCCCCTGAGAATCACCCCGATATTAAGGAAGAAAAGGAAGATATTCGGGGTGTTTTCCACCCAGGGGGGGTTTATGTGTCCCCCCCCATTACGTACCCCCCACAGCCACCCCCGTTGGTGCCGTAGTGGACGCGGGGCTCGCTGGATGCCAGCTTGATCAGCTCGTTCCACTCCTTCTGCCACTCCTCCTCCGTGTAAACGAGGCCAGACTGGGGAAAGGCAAATATAAAAAAATAAAAAAACAACTCAAAACCACCTTCCAAGTCAATATTTTCCAATCTCTGCAGCTGTTTCATGGGGGCAGCCAGCCACAGCTTCCCTCGGCGCGGAGTCCCGCAAATTTAATCAATATATTATGCAAAAGAAAAGGTGTGGTTTTTTGGAAACCCACCTGTGGGCTCAAGGAGGTGGTGGTGGTGGGGAATCATCTGCTCGAAATGAGATTTTGCCTTTCCTGGGGTGGGGGTTAAATATTTCAAGCCCCAGAATGAGGAGAATGGAGAAGAATTTCTTTAATTTTGAGGGTGGTGAGACCTTGGCCCAGGTTGGACGGGGCTTGGAGCAACCTGGGTTGGTGGGAAGTGTCTTTCCAGCCCCTTCCAACCCCAAACCATTCCATGAGTCTCTGACCAGGAGCCACAACTCATCCCAAGGAAGATGGGAAAGACCTTAAAATACCTTTAAACACCAAATTCTGCATAAAGCTGAGCCCGAACCTGCTGTATTTAAGGTGGAAAAACGCAAGAGGAAGGGCAGGGAGGGAGCCTTTCCCTCCTCCTCCTCCTCCTCTTCCCAGCTCCAGCATCCAAACACAACACCCAAAATCCTGAAACCTGCCCAAAAATCCCCAGCAGCATCCCTCACCCCGGGCTGCTCCTTCCCAGCTGATTTGGGAAGAAGGAGGAGCTCAGAATCCTCCACTTCCAGCCAAGAGCTTCGGCAATTCCTGGGATTCCTGGACCCGTTGCACCCTCTACATCCCACATGGGCTGCTCACACCTTTTTTTTTTCCAACTCCTTTTAAGATCCCTCCTTAATTTTAATTAAGGCGGCTAATTCTGGAGCACCCAGTTGAAAGAGGAGCAGAAAAACCTGCTTTTAATAGCAATAAAACCTCCCATTATTTATTAACCACTCTGCCTCCAACAGGGAAATACCCCTTTGATTTGATTTGATTTTTTTCCACCTGTCGAGATACGAATCTTCTGAAAATAAAAAGGAAGCTGGAGGGTAAGTAACATCCTTCAGTTGAAGGACCTTTAGTGCAGGAAGTTGATAAATCACCTTTTTTTTGGTGGAGCCTTTGATTTGATTTGATTTTTTTCCACCTGTCGAGATACGAATCTTCTGAAAATAAAAAGGAAGCTGGAGGGTAAAAAACATCCTTCAGCTGAAGGGCCTTTAGTGCAGCAAGTTGATAAATCACCTTTTTTTTGGTGGAGGAGTTTGCTCTGGGGGCACATGATACGAATCTTCTGAAAATAAAAAGGAAGCTGGAGGGGAAATAACATCCTTCAGTTGAAGGACCTTTAGTGCAGGAAGTTGATAAATCACCTTTTTTTTGGTGGAGGAGTTTGCTCTGGGGGCACATCTCGCTGGAGAGACCGAGGCCACCACGAGGCTTTGGTCTTTAAAAGCCCATCTTGGACCTCAAACGCTCGAAGGTGACATTGGTTTTCCATCAATATTGGGTAAATCCTACTTAAAAAAATTCCTTACTGTGTAATAAAGAGAATTTTCCTAGAGTTTGGATGGAAGGAGACATCTCCTGATGGCACTACGATGCCACGTGGCCGGTATGACAAGCCAAGGAGTAGGCCCAAAAATTCAAGGCAGGTTTTACAGCCACGAGGAGCATCTCCAGGAGCCACGGGGAGATTTCACGGAGACTTTTCCCCCCCAAAATTCCATCTTCAGAGGTTCCTACCTCCTTGTTCTGCTGCGTCTGCTGCCAGCGCCACCTCCTCTTCAGGGCTTCCCTCTCCAGCCCTTTGTCCATCAGGGTGTAAAGGGATTTGCGGAGCATGAGGTCGCGATCGTGGAAACCCCACATCCCTGAACGAGGTGAGGGGGGAGAAAAAAAGAAAGGGCAGCAGAGGATTAGCAACAACCAGCATCACTCCATCAGCCCTGCTCAGGTCCCACAACCCACCACCAACCAGCCCAAGGGGGGAAAATTGGGAAACAGGCAGAAAAACGCAACTTTTTCCAATCTAAACAATAAAAATCCCAGTTTTTAAGCCCGAATTTTCCACCCGTGGTGGGTTTTCACGTGGCCGGAGCCGCCTTCAGCTCTAAAGCATCTTGCAGATGCAGCAAAATATTTGTTCACAAAAAAAATCACCCACTTCTTGATGTTAAATGTGATGGGAAAACGAAGCCGGGTTAGAGGAGGCGGTGGTTTTGCCGCCTCTGAAATATAAATAAGGAAGGAAACACTCAGGGAGGTTGATTTAAGAGTCTGGAAAGCTCAGGGAATTTCCTACGGCCCCACTCGAGCAGAGGAAACCAAATCTGGGCTCTTGAAACTCCAAGGTGGGAGAGGAGGGAAGGGGCGGCTCCGGTATTTCACGTTTCCTTCAAAAATCCAAGGAAAGGTGCCAAAGGGAAGGATAGAGGAGGGGGGAGATATTTTAGGAGGACCCAAGTTGGGTTCCTTCAACCCGTTTCCTTCAGAAATCCAAGGAAAGGTGCCAAAGGGAAGGATGGGAGGGGGAAGAGATATTTTAGGAGCACCCAAGTTGGGTTCCTTCATGGGTTCCTTCAACCCATTCCCTCCAAAATCCAAGGAAAGGTGCCAAAGGGAAGGATGGAGAGGGGGAAGAGATATTTTAGGAGAACCCAAGTTGGGTTCCTTCAACCCATTCCCTTCAGAAATCCAAGGAAAGGTGCCAAAGGGAAGGATGGAGGGGGGGAAGAGATTTTTATAACGTGATGGGAAAACGAAGCTGGGTTAGAGGAGGCGGTGGTTTTGCCGCCTCTGAAATATAAATAAGGAAGGAAACACTCAGGGAGGTTGATTTAAGAGTCTGGAAAGCTCAGGGAATTTCCTACGGCCCCACTCGAGCAGAGGAAACCAAATCTGGGCTCTTGAAACTCCAAGGTGGGAGAGGAGGGAAGGGGCGGCTCCGGTATTTCACGTTTCCTTCAGAAATCCAAGGAAAGGTGCCAAAGGGAAGGATGGAGGGGGGGGGGGAATATTTTAGGAGGACCCAAGTTGGGTTCCTTCAACCCATTCCCCTCCAAAATCCAAGGAAAGGTGCCAAAGGGAAGGATGGAGGGGGGGGAAGATATTTTAGGAGCACCCAAGTTGGGTTCCTTCAACCTGTTCCCCTCCAAAATCCAAGGAAAGGTGCCAAAGGGAAGGATAGGGTGAGGGGGGAGATATTTTACGAGGACCCAAGTTGGGTTCCTTCAACCCATTCCCTTCAGAAATCCAAGGAAAGGTGCCAAAGAGAAGGATGGAGGGGGGGAAGAGATCTTTTAGGAGGACCCAAGTTGGGTTCCTTCAACCCATTCCCTTCAGAAATCCAAGGAAAGGTGCCAAAGGGAAGGATGGAGGGGGGGAAGAGATTTTTATGAGGACCCAAGTTGGGTTCCTTCAACCCATTCCCCTCCTGGAAAGCCAGAGCGTGGTGACTGCTCCAGCTCTGACTGCCCCGTTAGTGTTAATTCGTTAATTAAAGCCCAGGCTCTTACCCAGGGAGGCGGCGTGGAGCAGGCAGTTCCCATCCCCGGTGGTGGCCAGTGGAAGAAGCCGTTGGCAACTGGGATCCACGTTGGCCCACCAGTTCAGGCGACCTGGGGGAAGGTCAGAGAGCGTGAAAACGGGGTCGTCCCCCCCCAAAAAACCACCCCCGAGGGTGGAAACCTCCTTAATTTGCAGGGAAATGGTAAAATATATGAGCAGTCCCAGAGCCAGCCTGCAGTTGGAAGGAAGAAGGGGTCAAGGTGGTTAAGAAAGCAACAAAAAGGGGAGATGGCAGCTGCACAACTTCAGGGGAAGAGCCAGGTTATATTAGGGTCACACAAATTAGAATTAATTAGAAAAAAGAGCCAGCCCAGCCAAAAAATTCAACCCACACCAGGGCTCTCCTCTCCATTTCTCCCCCCTCTTTGCTTATTTCACACCCATTAAAGCTTTTGAACCTTTATTTTAACACCATCGACCCCAAAATGCCTCCTTAAGTCCCTCTCACCAACAACTTTTCCACTTAATAACCCCTTTTTTATGTCTTCTTGTAACCAAACCGCTCCTATTTACACATCTCCCAGGGCTCACCGGTTTAGGTAAAATACCGGCGAATTTTGCCCATCGCAGCAGCTTTAGGGAGGAAAAAAAAATCAAAATAGCAGCTTTTTTTTTTTTGGGTAATATAAGGCCACTTGGCTCAATTCGAGTCAAGAGGGGCTAAAAATAGAAGCAGGGAAGAAAAGAGAAGAATTAACAGACAGGAGGTTAAACATTGATGGGGGACGGGGAGTGGGGCTGGACGAAGGACTTTGAACTCGTTGCCTCCCTTGGCTGAGATTTTGATCCGGGGAGTTTTTTCTCCAGGGCAAGAAAAAAAAAAACCAAAACAAAAAAAAAAGGTGAGTTTTTTTTGGCTGCTAGATGCTGCTGAGGCTTCCAAAAGTCATATTTAAATCGCTCTGGAAAAAAAAAAAAAAAAAAAAAAAACCAGCTTTCCAACCCGTTTTCTCCCCGACTCGATCCCGGTTTCCAAACACAGGATTTCTTGAAATTGTTTCCCCGACCTCGGCGACGGCAGCTGGGGAAGAGCTAAATAGGGAAAACTTGGGTTTAAACACCCATAAACAGGAAAAATAAAAAAAATAATAAAAAAATAATTTAAAAAAATTTTAAAAAACCCAGAAAAAATTGTGATTTCTTTTCTGGGCCGTGGGGAAAGGAACCAGCCGGGGTTAAAAACGTGTTTATTGTGGGGACAATAGCTCTGCTTGGTAAAAGCTGCCTGTTTTCCCTCAAAAAGAGCTCCTGGCACGGCCAAGGGGCAACCCTGAGCCAAGTGGCCCGGGGCCAACGGAGCCAACCCAGCAGCAAAACAACCTCCTGACAAAAAGCTCAACCCAAACCTAACGCTTCCGTGGGCGGCCCCAGCCTCCTTTAGTATTCTTTTTTTATTTATTTAATCCAGTTCCTGGCGTTCCTGGAGAATTTTAGCTTTTTTTTCCCATCCTTTGGTTGGGGAGGGGGTCATTCCAAGGTGGTGGTGGTGGTGGGTGCTTTGGAGGTTGCCCAACCTCCACTCCAGCCAAGTTGGGTGCGATACGGAGTTGGGGGGACACACCTCGAGGAGGTATTTCTATTTTTTAGGCAGGGGGAGGAGGGATTTCTATTTGCACTGGGGGGGGGACACGAATCACACCACCAGAGTGGCTTGTAGAGAGCTCCAAGTTACTCAAGAGGATGAAGAAGAAGCCCGTCGCGCAAAAGCAACCGCGTTCCCCCCAACCCTTCTCCAAATATTTTGCTCCCGTGGAGGCGGCGGAGAGGCCAAGAGGCCCCCGGGAAGTATTTAAACCAACATATTTCTCCCCACGTGGTTATGGGGAGGGAGCCTGGAGAGCTCTGAGGAGGAAAAGAAATGGTTTTCAAGAGCAAGCCCATCGCGCAAAAACAACCGCGTTCCCCCAACCCTTCTCCAAATATTTTGCTCCCGTGGAGGCGACGGAGAGGCCAAGAGGCCCCTGGGAAGTATTTAAACCAACATATTTCTCCCCACGTGGTTATGGGGAGGGAGCCTGGAGAGCTCTGAGGAGGAAAAGAAATGGTTTTCAAGAGCATGAGGGACCTTCTGGGAGTCCCCGCCTCCAGCAGCGAGGCTGGTGACAGCTCTTCCACTTCTGGAGACCATCAAGAGGGTTCTTCTGGAGACCACCAAGAGGGTTCTTCTGGAATCCAGCACTGTGGCTTTTAACTGGGTCCAGTTCTGCCCCCACAGCTGGTTTTGCTACAGAACCAGTGGGTTTGGCCCAGCAGAACCTGAGCACAAAGGTGGAAGGTGGGTAAAACACCGTCGTTTTCTTGCGTAGGGTCGGTAAAACACCTCGTTTCTTCCACCAGGAACCATCTAAATAGGTCACGGGAATGGGAAGGAAGAAAGTGGGGGCTCCTCCTGGCCCGGAGATGAGGATTGAGTCATTAAAAACCCAAATGGCTTCCCTAAGGCTACCGGAGAATCCAGCACCGTAATTACAGGTCCATCCTTGTTCCCAGGGGTGACCTGGCCTCCTGCTCCTCATCCCCAGGGGACAAGAGCCACCACGGACACCCCACCACGACCGTGGGTGACCACAAACCATGGGGACCCCTCTGAATCACCAGGGAGCAGCATCATCACCCCTGGAACTGGGCTAAAAAAAGAGACCAAAAAAGGAGAGGAGAGAGAAAAAAACCAAAAAGTGGCATCTGCGTTGAAAGGAGCTCATTTCACGTGGCCAAAAGGAGATAATTCATCCAGAGCCTCCTTATCTCAGCTCTGAGGAGGACAATACCTGGAGAAAACCTATTTTTGGGGGGGGATCTGGCAGTGAAAAGAGCGTGTTGGAGTGTGTTTACACACAGGAGGGGACAAGGACACGGTGGCAGCGCTCTTGGGTCACGGCAGCGTCCTCCAGCCCAACTTCTGAGAAGGTTCCTCCTGCCTTTGGATGTGAGCTCATCCCTCCTGCTAAAGAAACCGATGACTTAGGGGCCAAAATATTCCCAAACTGGATGCCAGGAAGGTAAGACAGAGCAGGGGGGACGTGCAGGTACATGTCTCTGCTCAGGCACGGGCTGGAAAAAGCTTCCCCAAAGCCGGGCGATGCGTCACCAAAACGCCCAACCCTTTGACCGCCCGCTCCGAGACGCGGGATATTTACACCCCGAGAACGAGGAACCCCCTTTTTGGTGGCCCTCGGTGGCTGGTCCCTGTGGTGACACAACCCCTTTGCTCTCTCCACTCAGCTCTTTGTCACAGGCCACCTCAAGATGTTCATTAAATACAAGTTTGAAGCGTGAACCAGGAGGTTTCTTGATGCTGAGGGACACCTGAAGGTGTGTTTGCCACCGTGTCCTTGACCCCGGAACCATCAAATCCAGGGATTTCTTTCCGTTCTTCTCAATTTTTATTTATTTAATGGCTTCGGGCAAAGCACTTCCAGATCTTCCTCCATAGGTGCGTTTGACACCATGTCCTTGACCCCGGAACCATCAAATCCAGGGATTTCTTTCCGTTCTTCTCAATTTTTATTTATTTAATGGCTTCGGGCAAAGCACTTCCAGATCTTCCTCCATCAAGAAAACCCACCCTGCGTCTTCAAAACCTCGGGCAAGGCTTAATCCATTCAGGTTTGGGACAGGGAACATTGAGATTGGGGCAAAAACTTAATTTTCAGCTCCACCAAGAGCTTTTCACACAACCCCCAGCCCCCTAAAAGCCTTCCAAGAGGATGTCACTACAATTTACAGACTCTTTAAAGCGCCCTTACCCTGCCACAGGGGTGTGAAGGGACCTCTGGATGGAGGGAGAAGAGTATCTCAACATTTATTGGCCTATAAAATATTTGTTTCATCCCCTAAGGACGGCGTGTGTTAAATTAATAACGGGAGTGACCGTAGATCACAGCTCCAGGCTCACAACCCGACCTCAAATTGAGCTTGGGGTATTTTTTATCCCTTAAATAAAGATAAACACCCTTTTATAACAACCCCAACTTCACGTAGATACACTTCAGCATTCAAAACTCACTAAAAAAAAATAATAAATCAATTATTTCACCTTAACATCGTCTCAACGTGCCTGGAGGCACCTTGGGGACAAAGAGCTGCCACCTCTCGTCCCCCTCCCCCAGGCCAGAAGTTGTGCCTCCCGAGAAGAGCAACCCAACACTCTCCACCGACCAACGCAACGGGATCGCTGGGATCAAGTGCTCATTTCCAAACCAGGAGAATATTCATGATGGGAACACTCCAGCAGGACGGCTGGAGGAATAGTTTTCTAGGTGGGTGGAAGAAATAAGGAGGGGTGGAAAAGCTCCTGAGATATTGCCTGGTGTCCTCCTTGCCCCATCTTGGTGATGGGCGTTGGGTTTTCCCTGCCAGGAGGGAGGGTCCCATTTATTCCCCCCCTTAAATCTCGTTTACAGATCACCCAGCGACTCTTCAGGAGGAAAACAGCCTCCAAAAAAATGTCTGGAAACAAAACCTGGAAGGTGGTTCCTCCCCAGCAGAGGAGCTTTCCCGCGTGGAAGTTGTGAATAAAACACATCATCGATTTCAAATGGTTGTAATCACTAATATTTATCAGTGGGGAGGAGCTATGGGCTGTGTCAGGCAGGAATTTCTTCTCCTGGGGACGGGGCAGGGCAGAGGGGGAGATAATGTGAATTTTTTTGGGGTGTAACCACTCAGCTACGGGAGCCGTGAGGTCACCCACGACTTATTTACGTTCGGTGTCTGCGAGCAAAGACTCTGACTCAACTCTAAAAAGGGGTGGAAATAACACCCAGGAGATAAGTGTCCTCAACCAACAACGGGCTCGTTTCTCCTTCCCGGTGGAATCGCCGCGAAAAAATGTGGGATCAGCATTAAAAAAAGAATCATAGAATCATAGAATTGCCCAGGCCGGAAGGGACCTCCAAAGGCCATCTAGTCCCACCCCCCGCAGTCAGCAGGGACACCCCCAACTAGACCAGGTTGCCCAGGGCCTCATCAGGCCTCACTAGGCCTCACCTTGAATATCTCCAGGGAAGGGGCCTCCACCACCTCCCTGGGTAACCTGTCCCAGTGCTCCACCACCCTCCCAGTGAAGAACCCTCTCCTCATCTCCAGTCTAAATCTGTTCCCCTCCAGCTTGAAGCCATTGCCCCTCGTCCTGTCACTGCAGCCCTTTCTAAACAGGCTCTCCCCAGCCTTCCTGTAGCCCCCCCTCAGGTACTGGAAGGGGCTATTAGGTCTCCCCGGAGCCTCCTCTTCTCCAGGCTGAACAACCCCAGCTCCCTCAGCCTGTCCTTGTAGCAGAGGTGCTCCATCCCCCTGATCATCCTTGTAGCCCTCCTCTGGACCCTCTCCATCAGGGTAGGTAGAGGTACCCACCAGCTTGTTCCAGTGCCACCAGCATGGACTGCTCGATGAGGTCGCGCTCGATGAAGCTGCGGAAGTCCTCGGTGTAGGAGGTGAGGTCGGGCAGCTGGAAGGTGCAGATGGGCATTTCCAGGAGGTGGTCGCTGCTGCCGCCGTTGCTGGAGACGTGGGAACGGGCCAGGGAGACGATGGTGGAGCTGGCGTGGGAAATGCCTCGCGACAGGCGCTTCTCTGAGGGAAGGAAGATGATAAAAACATCTAAACGGGGCAGAAACAGCAAATCTCCCACAAGCAATTACCAAATCAATGCCTTCAACCAGTATTTTTCATACGATCGTGGAATTGTCTAGATCGGAAGCGATCTAGAAGGAATCATAGTCTAGATTGGAAGGGACCTTCAAGGTCTAGACCTTCTAGAACCTAGGAGGCATCTAGAATTGCCTATGCAATCGTGGAATTGTCTAGATGGGAAGAGATCTAGAAGGAATCATAGTCTTGATTGGAAGGGACCTTCAAGGTCTAGACCTTCTAGAACCTAGAAGGCATCTAGAATTGCCTAGATTGGAAGGGACCTTCAAGGTCTAGACCTTCTAGAACCTAGAAGGAATCATAGAATTATCCAGATTGGAAGGGACCTTCAAGGTCTAGACCTTCTAGAACCTAGGAGGGATCTAGAATTGCCTAGATTGGAAGGGACTTTCAACATCTAGACCTTCTGGAGCCTAGAAGGAATCTAGAATTGCCTAGACTGGAAGGGACCTTCAAGGTGTAGACCTTCTAGAACCTAGGAGGCATCTAGAATTGCCTAGACTGGAAGGGACCTTCAAGGTGTAGACCTTCTAGAACCTAGAAGGAATCATGGAATTATCCAGACTGGAAGGGACCTTCAAGATCTAGACCTTCTGGAGCCTAGAAGGAATCTAGAATTGTCTAGACTGGAAGAGACCTTCAACATGGAGTCCAAGATGGGTTGCGAGTGAGTGGATTGCTCCAGCATATAAATATTTTGGGTCCCAGAAGGCAGATTTAATTGATCTGGGATGGTTTTGGTGACACTGACCTTGCACGATGTCATCCTGCCGCTGGAGCGGCGGTCGCCCGGGCCGGGCCACCTCTTTTTCGGGTGGTTTGTAGCCACGACCCTCGTTGAAGGAATGGGGCAGGTTCCCAGCATGCACTTGCCGTAGCTGCTCGAAGTCGCTCAGGGCTGCGCTCAGATCCCAATTCTTGCCTGGATGGGAAGGGATCAAGAGTGGTCACCATCAGACGAGAGAGAAATCAAAGATCCAGGCTAGAAACCAATAATGGTGGAGTTCATCATGAAGGATGAAGGCTGTGTAGCAGAAACAAGGAGGAAATCAAGGTGTGGGACCATTCCTTCAGCTGGTTGCTCCAGGATTTGGAGTTTTGGAAGAGATTTAACCATGACAGAGCCCACAAAGTCATGGGTTGGTTTACACAAAGTTGGTTTACACATCATATGTGCAAAGAGATGTCCAAGAGGCAGCCACTGCTCTTGGATGCTGGCCATCTGCAAAACCTAAACACAGGTCCAAAGCCCTCAAATTTTCATAGAATCACAGAAACGGTTGGGTTGGAAGGGACCTTAAAGACCATCTAGTCCTACAGCTCTCCCACCAGGTTGCTCCAAGCCCCCTCCAACCCGCCCTTGAACCCCACCAGGGATGGGGCACCCACAGCTTCTTGGGGCAACCTGGACCAGGCTCTCACCACCCTCAGCTTACAAAAAAGTTCCTCCTCAGATCTAGTCTGAGGGAGAATTTTGGCAGCAGAAGATTCTGGGCTGGGACTTACAAAAAAATTCCTCCTTAGATCTAGTCTGAGGGAAAATTTTGGCAGCAGAAGATTCTGGGCTGGGACATGAAGAAGGGCAGGAAAACACCCAGCTCCAAACACCAAACTCATCATATGATATTTTTAATCCCAGCGCGTGGTTTGAGAGAAAACCACCCAAAAACCAGAAGCAAGCGAGGTCCCAGCTGGGCAAGGCGGTACCAGAAGAGCTTTTCGGCAGCTCATGTCATCACTGGTGGAGAAATTATTCCCAAAACCAGCTTAAACTAGATGGAATTGAGCAAATCCTTAAAGCAATTCCACTTCACCATTATCCAACTTCAAAAACATAAATTTATATTAATACGCTGAATTCTTTCAGCTCGCAATAAATTGACCTTTGAGGAACCACCGGTTTCCAAAGGTGAGAATACACCCCCCCAAAAAAAACCACCCCAAAAAACCTCCCATACAGCCCACATTCAGCAAAATTGTGACTTTTAAAATTATTTTTCAGAACACTGTTAATCTAAACTCCTAAATCAGCAAGTTCGTAAACAGCGGGGAAAAAAAAAAAAGCCAACCAAACCCACCACAAAACCCACAATTTGCCAGACTTCCCCAAAATTCAAGGCTGAAGCCCCGAAACCAAGTTTTAAGGGGAAGCTGGGAGAGGAACCAGAGACGAATCGATACCGGAGGTGGAGGGAATTGCCTAAAAAGCTGCATTTTAGCAATAATTTCAGGGCTTTGAATTCATCCCTCCTCGAGCATCCGGGGTGGTTGGGTTGAACCACCAACCCAGAACCTGGGTCCTGGGTTGAAAAAAGCAGAAAAATGAGCTGTATTGTATGAAAAAAAGGAAGAAAAGCAGCAAGTACGGTCTTCCTTTTTAATTACAGATGGGTTAATTACCAATTAACTGCCCCATGAGGTCTCTGCCTCCAGCATTACACCAGGGGCCAGTATTTCCTCCCCAGCAGCGTTAACCCAAAGGCGACTTTCCAGCCCCAAAATGAAGACCTGGGACCTTTTCTCCTCCACCCCTTCCCGTCCCTTCAACTCCAGGAGGGAAAAAATTACCTGCATCCTTCGACTTAATGCCACCATCGAGGATTTTTTGAGAAAGCCAAGATTATAGCACATTTTGGGGCAAATATACACCCTTTAAAAAATAGGTAGAGCAGCAGAAAGCCGCCGGCGCTGCGAGTCGAGGCTCTTGAGGGCTGCATTACCTGCAGCCTTCAACCAAATGCCACCATCGAGGATTTTTTGAGAAAGCCAAGATTATAGCACATTTTGGGGCAAATATACACCCTTTAAAAAATAGGTAGAGCAGCAGAAAGCCGCCGGCGCTGCGAGTCGAGGCTCTTGAGGGCTGCTTCCCCCCTTCACAAGCAAACTCTTTGAAGGCAAAGGATGCTCCTCTTGGATTCCTGACCATCCCAAACCTCTCCATCCCCTCAAACCTGAGGGATGAAGCTCGGCAGGAGCCTCCTGCGCCGGGCGAGAAGGGGCTGCTCCTCCAGGAGAAGCCACCGGGCACCCAGAACCCACCAATTTCTATCAGCACCATCAAACCCAACCAGCAAATAAATAACCCACCACCTTCACAAGCAGAACGAGATGGACCAGTAAGAGCAGGGCTTTTGCCTCTATAATTACCCCTTTACTGCTCTGAAAACCCAGCACAGTCCCTTCAGCCCTTCGGAAGACATTGCTGATCTAACGTAAAGAAAAATATATATATATTTATTTTTTTAATATATAAAAAAATATTTTTTCTTATTTTTTTTTATATATATATATTTATTTTTTTCCCCCCCTTGAAGTTTTGCTGCTCGTGGCAAGAACCACACGGTGAAGGAAGGGAAAAACCCCACTCCTGGATGATGCTGGAATTCTGAGGAATTTTGAGGCCTAGTGTGACAGATATTACAACTTTCCAAGCTGTAAACTGTGCCTTGAACTTTCAGTTCTTTCTCAAGTAAAATTCCCTTTAATTACAGGCCATTGGAATCAATGGGAAATTTGCTTCATTAACAACTATAAGACTGGATCCTGTTTGTACAACTTGTCAGCCCACTTAAGGATCTTTTGCATAGACACAGGAACAATCACTGCTAAGTCACTCCAACTTTCTATCAATCTCTTTTCGCAGAAAACAACGATTATACTTGTGTGTGGCTGGAATAACAGGGTGGTCAATCTAGCCCACAGGCTGACACACATATACACGTATATCTGTATGTATATCTATATATAGATTTGTAAATTTATGAAAAATGTCCATAGCTTCATGATTGCCTGAAATAACCTGAGGTCGGTGTACAGAATTTCAGGCAAAGGACTGTTTCTTTTTCACAATGTAAGGAGAAACCCAGGCAGAATTCCAGCGGGGCAGGCGCTGAGGATCTCGGGCATCACACTCATTTATTTATTTTTTCCCCCCAATTCCCCTCTCTTCCTTTTATTCCCTCTTTTTTTTTTACTTTACCTTCCAGCAGGTCTCTGGCCAGTCCTGGCTCTGCCCCCGTTGAGCGGACGAAGTCGGAGAGGACGACGTCCATAGCCGAGGCCGTGGGCTCCCGGATCAGGATCAGCTCCCGGGCATCAATCTAGAAGAAGGAAAAAACACCCCAGATCTCGTTACTCCCCATAAAATAATTAATTAACCCCGGCCAGGCGGCCGGCGACGATCCGCTGGCAGGTGGCGAGGGGGGAAAATAACCCTCCTCCCCTTAAAATCCATCGTGTTTGTGTTTAATTCGTTTAACTCGGGCATAATTTGGAGAAAAAAATGACTTTTTTTTTTTGCTGCTTTCTCCCCCCACGCTGTAATGACTCCACTAATTATGGACATAACGAGGGCAAATGAAGGGGAAAAGGAAAACCACCCCAATATTTCTAATTGCAAAGGAAGTGGGGCTTTTCTTTCCCAGCTGCCAGGAGAATAAATGAGTTTATTTGGGAGCAGAGAAAGCAAAAAGTTTCTCTTATAAATTCGCAGGGAGCTCAGGTTCCCTGCCCCCCCCCACCCCCCCCCC